AAACAACCAAGCTCAGAGAACCCCAAGGACTCCACAGTTCAACCCGGAGCTACACATATTCCCTTCTATTGATATGGACAACTGTCTGCCATCTCAACTGTTACTCTTCCAAGGACATTCCGGCATTCTCCTTGATACTGCCCTTCCACCGTATCTGTCGACCTCTTCTACATTCCTGAATCTTACTAAATGTAGTTTTTTCTAAACCATCGTTCAGTTACATCACACACCTAAAGTGTAAGAGTTTCTGCTTGCTGATAATTTCTGCAAGGGAGTAGTTGGTCTTTAATTGGTCCAGGATCTCCTGTTTTGTTTTGTTTTGTTTTTTGCAATAGAACACCATAATCTGAAGTTCTTTTTTTTCTCTTGCTCTTTCTCAATGCTATTTTTTACTCCAACATTGGCATTCCAATTAGCCATTAGTAGTACATCCTTTCTATATTCTGTATGTAGTGCTTCTTGCAATTTACTATAGATTTCCTCAGCCTCTTCCATCACTGATTCTGAAATAGGTGCTTATATTTGTGTAACATTGATGTTCACTGGATATTCAGTAATTCTAATAGGTATGATCTTGTCATTTATTGCTGACAAGCTGAGAATATCATTTTGAATGCTATTGCCACTTCCTTCCTGTGTGTGGTTTATGCCCTGAAGAGTTTATCATATACCCATTCTAGTCATCTAAATTCACTTAGACCTAAAACATCCAATTTAGGATGATTAATTTCCACTTTGACAAATCCAAGTCCTCCTTGGTTTATGGTTCTCTCATTCCACATTCCAACGCTCCTTGTAAACAAGGAATTCCTCTTCCAATTTGAAATCAGTCACTGAACTCTGTCAGTGACCAGATTTCTTTATGGCTTTTGCTAATCATTTCCAGATTAGACTCCCAGTAATTAGCAGTGCATTCTAACTTGTGAGCATAATCTGGCACCAAAACATTTAAAAATGTTTCAGCTATATCCACATGATTTTCTTGACAATAATACAGAAATGGCTTGCCACTGCTTTTTACATTTGGATAACTTCTCTTAAGTGAGCTGGATTTCCTAACACATGAAGATGCCACCTACCCTCACCACCTGATTACAGATAGTCCTCGTTTAGCAACTGCAATTGACTCTGGCGACTTAGTCATTAAGCAAAGTGGTCACTAAGTGAAAATGATGTGACTGCAACGGTGCTTATGATTTTACTTCAGCTTTCTTTTGCTTTACAGCATCAGAAGGATATGACACCAAATAGCTGGGTGCGCCCAAACAGCAGGGTAGTTTTCCAGAACTCGACTCATGAGAAAACCAGGTAAAAGGGCAAATCTTATAGCCCCTTTTCCCCACTCCCCCACCCTTTGGAATGCTCACCATGGTGCTGTGATAATTAGCTAGTACAGAATTGATGTTTGTAGTTTGTATTTACATTCATTGGAGAGAAAGCAGGCACACAATGGGAATACACATGGAAAGGAATGCACTAGAGCCAGCTGTTTGCTTAGCAGAGAGCTGCTTAGGAGGCAAACAAAAGCCTTTAGCATGAAACTGATTACAGTCTGGTCACTGTCAGGCAGCAGTGCTAGCAGGTAGAAAGGTTCTAATCAACTCATTAAGGTCACAGAGCAGAGCTTATTAATTTGCAGTTAGCACCTTTTGGGAAAGCACTGAGCTGGGAAGAAAGCAGCCTGGGAAGAGATAGCTTGTTTAAGCAATCTCCCCACCCTGTGAGGGAAAATAATGGGTCAGGCATAGGACAACCCAATATCATACTGACTGTAATGGTAAATATGTGACTGAGAGATACTGCAAGAGTCATAAATGTGTACATTGGTCGCAAAGTTACTTTTTCATCAACCATCGTAACTGTGAAGGGTCGCTGTCCAAGGCAGTGGCTAAACGAGGACTACCTGTCTTCTTAGCTTCATCTCTTCTTTTCCCCTTTCAATTTTACCTGCGATGTCGCTCATGCTCCACTGGCATCACTCTCAGGATGGGTGAAGCTACTGAGGCCTATCAAGGTGATAATCCCTTGGGAAGATTACAAACCCAGCACAGAAAGCGTGTGTGTGTATCCTATTTAGAAAGCTAAGGTATGGGCAGTGTGACATACATTCTGGTTCTGAGTATCTGTTTACCTGCCTATGTTAATAGAGGGAGGGTTAGCCAAGCCAAAGATTCCTGTAATTTCAAGTTCTTCCATTTCTCCATTTCAATCACTCATTATTAATACACATACTATGTGCTAGTTCTAATAAATAATGTAGTTGAAGCACCACCAGCAACTTTGTTATGCACTGTTACTGCAACCTACAGAAGCTACATATGTATGAATTTAAGGGAGGATCATGCACACAGCTGGAGTTTTAAGTTTTCATTGCCGCAGCTCTGACTGGTGAAGAAAAAGCTGTTTTGCAAACTGAACAGTAACAATACAAGATGCTGCAGCAAAAAAATTCAAAGAAAATTCAGGGTGTATCTTCAGCTTTCCCAGAACATACATTCCTCCAGATTATGCATCTAGAATGAACATCAATTTACATACATAGGAGATACAAGGATATTGTTTTGTTTTACAGTTTAGGTGATGAATTATATATGCTCTGAAACTGCCATTTGTTTGTTTCTAGCTCTAGACCTTAAAATATTTGATGTTACAAAGAATCATAATTATTCAAATGGACAGGCAAGCTCTGCATTTCATGCTTGCAGATTTCATCAAAGAAATAATCTAAAAGGGCAGTAAATACATAAAGACAGATGAATAAATACAAAATCTCCTTTAAAAAAGGAATCCATAAGTATATAAGCATAATAGATTGGACCTTATGAAAAAGATACAAGGGAGGAAATCACCTATAATGGTGATAAAGTTATTAGGCAGCAGACATAGATAACAAACAGTATTCTTTTGGAGGCTGTGAGCCATAATCATGCACAATGGTAATGCAGGATTCCAGAGAATCTTGTACTGCAATTAGTCTAAATGCTGCTAAATGCAGCCCATTCTCTCCTTTTTACTCTTATCAACAGGAGCAGGTGAACTACAGTACTAGGATTTGAAAGTGTATTATTGTTACAGGTTCTGACTAGCAGTTCCAGTTTTTCCAGTTCCTGGTTGAACTCTTATTGGGCAAAGGAAACAAGCAAGGGGGAAAGATAGCATCCTTCCTACATTACTTACAATTCTCTTTACATTGCATTCTTACGTAGGATTCTCACTGGAGACAAATGCAGCCAATCACTAAGCCCTTCTCCAGTCTGGTACCCTGAAGATACGTTGTGACTTTCTCTTTCAGAATTCTCACCAAAATGGGAAGGAACAAATCATACTAACTGGGAATCATCGAGGTTGCAGATCCAACACATCTGCATGGCATTAGGTCAGAACAGGCTAAACGTAACAGCACAGTTAATGGAAGGCTTTTAATCTACCACCCCACAAAAATGGAGGATTGCTGTTCAGACTTCTTGCTATATCCTAAACAGCAAAAAATTATATATCAAATTTAGTCACATATCAAGTTGCACAACAACCACACCTTCAACTTATGTTATTCTTGACGCTATTAATGACACTGTGCAATAAGCTTCCTACCAGTTTCTTTCTACTGCAGTGGCTGGAATCAAAAATATTGCTGCTCAGTGACAAACCAAACACTTTCCACACATTCATTTCAATATGAAAAAGTTAAGCAAATGCTTTACTGTCTTCTACTGAAAAAATATGTTTGTCCAATTTTAGCTGGTCCATGCATTATGCCTTAGATATTGTGTACATATGCTAACACTAAATTTGGAACTATGCCACTGAACTTGTTTTTTTTCTTTGTCTTGTTTTAATAAAACCTAAATGATCTCCACTGATCTCAAAAAGTTTAGAAGGGTTGGATCTCATAGTACTTGCATGAAAGACAACCAAGAAATCCCAAGTCTATAGGCCAGACTGGGAAGTCAAAAAGCATCCTGAAAGAAGGCAATGGCAAACCACTTCTGTACTGTGGTGGAAGAAAGCTATATATACATATCAGTGTAGCCCCAGGAACTGAACTCATCTCAAATAACTCTTCATATGTTCACATTCTTCTAATTAATTAAAAATGTCCCTATATATAAACTTGAATATTTTGGCAAAGTGTTTCAATAAAAACTCTGATTCTTAACATTTTGGATGCAAACTCCAATGAAATAAGGCCTATTTCTCTGCTGTATGAAAATTGTAATATAAATAGCACTTTTAAATTCAAAGGGTATCATCAGTTCATTAAAAAGATCACAAAAACAGAATGTATCCATAAAGAAGATTCACAGATGAAATGATTTAGCTAATAGAAAAATTAGCAGATAAGTCCATTTTGGTTATATAACAAAATAGTTGAAATATATTAAATTATAAGTTTGTTTCTTGCAATGTTAGCTCTTAGAACAGTGAGCCAGAAAACAAATATATATTTATTACTTAGACATACCTCTGCATAAAAGGATAACTGTAATAATAATGGAATTGGGAAAATAATTAACAAATAATTTTCCTTTTCTCCATACCAGACTACAGAAATGTTAAATATCTGAGGTTGCTATCAACAGTTGTGTAACTCACAACATTTGATTCAGCTTCAAGAATATTACCAGCTAATTGACTGACACTCTTTCCACATTTTACTTTAAAGCCACAAACTATTATATTTTCAGTTCCTTTCCAACGATGTCGCATGCCTATTCAGAAGAAAGAGTGAACGAGAGTCAATTTTTCGTCTTTCCCAACCAGGTATGTTAGATGGCAACGCCCATTACTTGCAGCCAGCACTTTGGTCATGCCGGCAGGGAATCATGGGAACTAAAGCCCCACATGTCTGGAGGGCGCCAACTTCGGAAAACGACGATTTATAACCTCAACCGGAATAAGACAACACCCCAGCCAGCTGTCGCGGAGACATCAATTTCCTTCCTCTAGGGATGCTGTTTTCTTTTGTTTTTCACCCAGGAACGGAAGAACTGTGAAAACTCCAAAACGCGCGAAGCGCCGGCCAAGCCACTTTGGCCCCGGGCTCCCCCGCGTATGAATTAGGGCGCTTATCCTTCCCCTTCAGAAAAGGCGTGAAAGTTACCCGGGGTGCCCAGAGGTCCCCGACACGCTCAGCACAGGGAGCCTCTCGCCCCTTCGCACCGACGACTGACCCGACAACGTCTTTCACGGGACCTCGGGAGCGCGACGCCACTGACACTCGAGACCCCGCCGTCCCCACAACCCCTAGCATGCCGCCTCACTGTGTAGGTCTCCACCAGCTCTGACCCAAGAATGCGGACGCCTTTCGGAGGCTCCTCGCCCTCTTCGCCGGGCCCCAACGCCTCCATGTCCACAGTCGGAGCGCAGAGATCGGGAACGGCGGGGAGCCTGGCTCCCTCGGCCC